AGATTCACCTAATATCTGTGCGGCTCTTGATGGTAATAATTCATTTCCACGTCATTAGCCCATTTATAATTGTATGATAGGTTCCTTCTGCCTTGTGATTTAGGTAGATGCAAAGTTACCACACTATTGTTTCTCATTTTTCGATACTCAGTGATTGTATTGAGTCCTCCAAGTCATGCGTACCACGATAGATTCAGAATAAGTCTACATTTTCAGCATTGATTGTTTTAACAAAATCTGCAACCTTGGAGTTGGAGCCTCATTGTGTGCAGATTTTTCAAGCTTGGATTGCACATCGAGTTCTGTCTTGTGATTTATTTTCAATTTCCCCCTCATTTTCTTCTTTCCATTTAAGCATTGAGGGGCACAATCTTCTCTCTACATGTACTTTGTTACATTTGAACAAAGATATTCAAGGTGGAGATGCATTTAAGAACAAGACAGATATACACATAAGGGAGAAAGTAATAGAAGGGTAAGGGAGGGAGTAAGGAGTGGAGAATAGACACCGGTTCGTTGGGCTGAATGGTCGGTTTCCCTGCTGTACCTTCTGTGCAAATCTAAGCTGTTGGCCTTTAATCAACCTGCTGTAGCTGAATTTTTCTGACAAACTCCCTTTCCTCAGCAGCACATCCTGTTCCCTTGAAGTTCTCCCTGCTTAGTTAAAGCACAGACCACTTGAACTTTTTAGGGAGCTCCACTGCTTTATATGTTTTGTTTCCCTGTATCAAGTGGCCCTCATGTCTGAAAGCGCAAGTGATCTGCTTCGAGGCCTGTTTCAGTATTCTTCTTCTCATTCATTCCGCCTTTCATATTTTGCTACCCTCTATTGAAAAAACATTTTGGCTTTGTTCAACCTTCCAGTAGAGGAGCCCTGTGCCTCAACAACCGACTTAATAAATCTTTTGTGTTTTAAGTCCTGTGTGAAGCCCATCAGGCCATATTTTACCCATTTTTCCTCCTTGCTGGTTCTGCCTCCTCTCCAGACCATACTTTTGTATTTATGCACAAATAACCTTTGTCCCTTTCCTACATTCTTAAAAATAATCAAAAATGCAACTAGGTAAATGGTGTCAGTGTTAGCCTTGCCTCCCATCGATCTGATCGTCGATCTGATCACTTGTTGTTCATCTAAAGCAGTCACCTCTAGAGTTCAGAAAGACCTCTTGTAATCTTCTAGAAAGACCTCTTGATGTCTGGTGACATTGCACATGGTGTATATATACATATATATAGTATATATGTACATAAAAAATAAAATTGCTGTTATACTACATACTCTGTACCAGTTTGGTGCAATTTGTTTGAGCGCCAAATCTGCAGCCATTGCAGAAGCCATATTTTATATTTGTATTTAAAGTTTAAAGTTTTGCTGGTGGCTAATGGTCTGACCTTCAGGTTTTTCAAGTTGTTAATCTTGAAAAACCTGACATTCGGATGTTGGTTTCGTGGGTCTTTCCACAGAAGCGCTCACAGAGCTCACTAACTTCCACGCAGCCTTTTGCACATTGCTATGAAGCTGCCCATACAAGATCAGTGCACCAGCTTTGCAAGACAACAACAACGACAACAACAAGATTCCATTTATAAAGCGCCTTTCACGTCAGGAGGACATCCCAAGGCGCTGAAGAGAAGACAAGATGTTGAACTAGTACTTCTACTATCATTGAACAATTAGACCTTGATTTATAGTGATATGCACAAAAAGGGTTAATTTTTAATCGGTTCTTATTACAATGATTTATCACAGTCACTATTGTAATTTATAGATCTTGAAGGGACTGAATCAAGTGCCATGATTCTGTGTGCCTTGCATAGGCATTTGTCGGTATTCACTGAAAGTGCATTTCCTCAGTTGGTAGTTTGGTGGAGCTTTAGTTCCTTCTAAGAACATGGAATTAGAAATACTTTCAGTGTAAATGCTGTGGACCTAAAAATTCAAACCAGATTTAATCTTCCGAACATAGCACTGAAATATAAGCTCCTTCTGCTAATATTTTTCTTGAGTGTAATTTTATCATCGCAGATTTATCAGTATTTCAATAAAGAAATAAATTAGAACTTTACTGCTGAGGAATTGGAGATTGCTCAGCAGTAAGAGTTGACCACATCAAACTACAGAGTTTATGAAATGAATGTTTAATCCAAGCCACATTCTTGATGCTTGGAAGTGATCAATGACTGGACAACAGCAGTCATTGCAGCAGCCTTCAGACTTAAAATATATTGTGCACACCAATTTCAGGGTGATCTTAACAGTTTCAACTGAACTATTCTTTGATTTATCAGGCAAGAAAAGATTTTTAAGGATTGAAATCTCTCGATTCCCAAACAACAACAACTTGCAGTTTTAAAATGCCCTTCATATAGGATATGAAATGCTGTACTCTGTCCAGCGCCTTGGGACGTCCTCCCAACGTGAAAGGCGCTATACAAATGTAATCTTGTTATTGATAACATTTTGGAGCGCTTCACAATGCCAAAATGGTTTATAAACATGTTAAATATAGTTCAAGGAGTTTCTTGCTGTATTTGATTGGTGTTTTGCTCCTTTAATAATAATAATAACCTTTGCATTTGATATAGCGCTTTATCACATTGTTGAGATGTCTCAAAGCACTTTACAGAATATGCTGTAAAGTGAATTGAGCTTATATTTTGTAGGCAAAGTTCAATTTATTTAAATTTATTTTTTTATCCAGAAAGCAATTTATTTCCTTACCATACTTTACATCCTGTTGTATGGTAAAGAAGTTTCATGAATATATATCTGATGCGTAGATGAGTTATGATGCGAGCTAAAGAAGACTAATAGTAAATAATTTTACTAATTTGCAGCATTTGATGAACCAGATGGAAGAAGATCTTTTTCTAAGTTGCTGCCAGCATTCTTGGTAATTTCTCTTAATAGTATCCATGCTGACCCATTTGGTTTGTGTTTGCTTTGCGGAATATGATAGCATTTTTATTGAGCAATGAAAGATAATGTTACATAGAATTACACAGAATATACAGCACAGAAACAGGCCATTTGGCCCAACTGGTCTATGCCAGCGTTTATGCTCCACATGAGCCTCCTCCTGCCCTTCCTCAACTAAGTCTATCAGCATAACCTTCTAGGTTGTGGACAAGTGTATGCTACAAATTACAAGTGTGCTTTAGATTGTCCATATTCTTATTTGACTTTATTTTAAATAATATCTCTGTGATTAGCTCTGGTAGTTTAATATACCACTTGAATTTCTTAATTTGTCATTTGATTCAAACAATAGATGATCCACTGATCAGCGCAATCTTAAAAGCATTGTGGATTTGTTATTTTCTCTGCCATTCCTTCCGCAAGGTTTTTTTTGGGTGTGGGGTGAATTTTCTACGCAAGTTCTTGCATGTTTTGGGGGATGGATGCCTTTCCCATTTTGATACCTTGCATTTAGACCAAATCATCCAGGTTATGTACAGGACAGACAGAAGTAAAGAAATAATTAATTGTTTCTGCTTCAAAAATGTGGGTTAACATTGTTCCTGCAGTACCAAGGCGAGTGTTCACATTTTCCACAATAGCCATTTATTACTCCTTTGAGTGAAGCTTCTGGTCTGTGTCAAACAAAGAGCACGAGGATATATGGAATTCAGTTCTTCATATCTGTTCTTTCCATACATCATAAAAAAAATTCCTTTAGTCATGAAACCTTGTATTGAAGGGAAAAATTCTGCAGAGGTAATTCCCAATCCATAAAGCAAGAGAAGTCTGCAGAATATTAATCATACATGAATCTAAACAGGTTGCCCTAGACTGGAAACACCAATTGGCCCTAATCTTTGTGGTTAATCAATAACCATATCTCAGGTATTGGGCTTTTGCGCCTCGCAGATGTATTGTTACCTCTCTGGCAGCAGCAAGGAAACTATTGTGTCTTGTAGTATTAAAATGTTTCAGAATTGAATTTGAAATCTTAGATTATATTTCCTATGAAATGCACAAATTCACTTGCTACTAAAATCACTTGGCATGCTTTCAAGTGAAAATCATAGCAGTACTGTGCAATCAACGAATTTTCTTTTCTTTGGATAACTGAACTTGATCATCCTCACTGTTTCTGAGTAATCATTCTGTAACTGACAGATATCTACCTTGCCAGTTGCAAGAGCTTCTACTAGCCTAGAAGCTTATGTCTCTCTTTCATATTTTATAGCCTTGATATTTTAAAAAGGGGGTGGATACCAGAGATGTAGAACATAAGGTTAAGATTAGGGCCAAATGGTGTTTCCAGTCTAGGGCAACCTGTTTAGATTCATATATTGTACCGGCTCAAGCTAGTGTTATATTTCTTTTGTCTTGACCTGGACTTGCTGATCCACCTTCCCACTGGCAGGTCTTCCTGGCAGCTACCAACCACACATTAGTTCTTCCAAACATATTTTCATTACTTACCAGAGTTCCCTGACCGCTTCAAATTTTCGGATCTCTCTTTTCCTAAGAGAGGAGGGAGGGCCAATCATTTCCATTCTTGAAGATTTTGGTCACTCCATTTCCTGCATCCAAAAAAATTGTTGCTGTGAAAAAAACACTATGGATATATTCCCAAGAAAACACCTGTTTGGTAATTGCATTTTATGAATGGTGGAGTTGGGGAGAAGGGCATTGGAAAATCTGAGATGGAGGTGATGAATGTGTGGATAAGGGTTTTAGCTACTTTGGATGTGAGGTATGCGATGTGGCAGAGGTGGAGGAAAGCATTCCTGGTCAGGAACTGGATGTGGAGTAGGAAGGACAGTTACATTTTCTAATTGCCATTACTCTATTTAACACTTGAACAATTAAAGTGTTTTTTGTGAAGCAAATATGAAAATATTCACACTGTAGTCTTACTTTTCTATTGTTAAATATAATGCTGCATTTAAACATTCTGTAAAATGTTTTTAACCTCTGGGGAAAGGAGGCATGGAATCAGAATCCAGAATTGAGGTGGCTGAGTGATGTTTTGCTGTTTCATTTCCAGGTATGCCATTCCTCCGGAGCATGGGAAGAGGCTGGAGCGTCTTGCACAAGGTAATTAATTGGAATATGTTATAGTATATCAATGGTTGAGTCCCATAGCGTAGTGGTTAGCGCGTTCGCCTCGCAAGCGAGAAGACCTGGACAACAATTTAGGCCAGTTTCCTTACTCCACATGCCTTTATACTGAGCAGTAAGTAGGAATCTGGTTGTTAGTCGATTGCAAATCGCTTTCCAGGAGCAATAATCCCTCCTCCCAAAAAGATGGTTACTCAATTCCATGACTGTTTTGTGGGACACTGCTGTGAGCAATTGGCTGCTGCATTTCGCCCACAAAATACACAAAATAACTTTAAAATATACTCTGTGAAGGTGCTTTGAGGTGTCTCAATGACTTGATAAGGCGCTATAAAAAAGCAAGTATTATTATCATCATCATCATCAAGCTATCAACCTGAATGTGTTCTGTTTTCAAATTTTAAATCTTTCTAGATTTTATCCTCCTTCCAACTTGGGTATCTTCCAGTGAAATGTATATTTTTTGTAGGAAAAGGAATGAATTTATTCAGCAGGCCTCAGCCTCACAGTACTGATAAATTTGACCAATACAAATGATGCATTTGTTTGGAGTTGAGGTACAAATCAGCCATGAACCACAGAACAGGCTCATGTAGCTGAATGGCCAACTTCTGTTCCTATGTTCCTATGATGCAAAACGTTTAGGCTTAACGGAAAAAAAGACTGCATGCAATTTTGTTAAATCGATTTGTATGCCATTTATATCCCACTTGGTGACAACATACATAGACATGGGGTCAACTTCCACATGTATGCGGATGACACCCAACTGTACGCCTCCACCCTCGACTCCAGGACCACTGCTGTCCTCACAGACTGCCTGTCGGACATCAAGTCCTGGATGAGCGCAAACTTCCTCCAGTTGAATGTCAACAAGACCGAGGCCCTCCTGCTTTGCCTTCATCAGCGCCTCCATACCTTGGGCGCTGACAGCATTTCCTTTCATGGATGCACTCTGCACCTCACAGAGCCAATATGGAAGCTCAGCGTTCTGTTCGACCCTCAACTGTTCTTCACCACTCACCCCTCCACCACTGTCTCTCACCGCAGGCCGCCAAGACCCTCATCCACGCATTCATCACATCCAGGATCAACTACGCAAACTCCCTGCTTGTCAGCCTCCCCAACTCCACCCTTCAAGGGTTGCAGATCATCCAGAACTCTGCAGCCTGTAGTCTCTCCCGCACCAAGTTCCGTGACCCTATCACTCCTATCCTCGTCTGACTCCGCTGTCTCCCCATCACACAGGATACAGTTCAAGATCCTAGTCCTTGCCTTCAAAGTCCTCCACGGCGTTGCTCCTGCCTACCTCTGTGACCTCCTGCCTTGCTCTCCCCACCATTGGTGGGCAGGCCGTCAGCCTCTTTCCCCCCACCCTCTGAAACTGCATCCCACAGTCCTTCTACCTCGCCCCCTCCCTTGCCTCCTTCAAGATCTGTCTCAAGACCCTCCTTTTTGACCATGCCTTCGGTCACCCTCCTACCCCGGCCATCCCCGCCCTCCACACCTCCTGATGCCAACCCTCTGCTCGGGTGCGGATCCTTGGAACGTCCTCTTGACGTGAAAGGAACTATACAAATGTAATTTGTTGTTGTTGAGAAATTTAAGCTGAAGTCATTATTAAACAAAAAGCTCTTATGCATAAAATCACAACTTCACCTTTGTCTGTATGTGGATTAAAAAAACATTATTGTTATTGGACATCTTCCCATTTCTCTTGAATTGCCCATATTACCATGCCACCTTCAACTGGCTGGTTTTGAAATAGTAATTTTTCTATGAATTCATCTTATTTAGTTTACAGATACTTTTATATTTTGAATCATGATTCAAAGGGTTTTCGTTCAAATTAATAAGTATGAGGGAAATGTTTTAAATCACTTATGAAGTGTTGCACGTTAGCGTTTGATAGAAACTATAATTTAGTTTTTCACGCATGGTTTCAGTTACCTGAACAGTGTGAATGAGAATGGAATAAAAAAATTATTTTTAAATAACCCATGAGTAAGGTGCACTGCCTTGATACCTGCCACAGAATTATGTAAAGTTAAGCAAATATCTTGTTGCAGCTCTTTCATAAATCAATCTACAATCACAATAAGTCATTTGACTTTGCATCATAATGTTCCATCCATATCTGCTTCTGGAATAGGTCACTTGACAGTTCTGAAAGGATAGGTCATCTTTGGTTGGAAATTAAAAGAAATCGTTGCTATTTTGCAGTCATTCTGTCTGCACATTGTAATTATCATTCTTGACTTTTATGCTTCGGTGCTTTCATCTCTGGCTTCTATTGAAAACATGATTGACTCTGACACCGGCAAATATTTTTATCTGAAAGACATTATAGTTTCATCTAATAAATAGTGAAACTTGATTTTTTTTCTCTCAGCTGCTGTCTGATTTATGAATTTTGTTTTACATCCTGTTTTGTGTAGGCCACAAGATGATGTAAATGCTGAGAACTATTATTGCAAGGAACATGTAGTTATGAGTCTTAAATTTACTGAGTTTATCATGTCAAATCAGTGAAAGCTATTGAATCACAATGACAGCTTGAAGTTTTTCTAAAAAAAATTACATAATCAACTTTGCGCTTGATATTCAACAATGCCTTGGGAAGGAATTATTTATTAGACTATAGACTTCTGTATATACTATCATTTGTTCTCCATTGGTATTATATGTACATTGCTATATTGGAAATTGCATCAATGTTTTTGATGTGGTTTGAAATTTGTGTTTATACCTAATACCGATAGCAATTGTCTCTGACTGCAATAACAGCGTTATGCTATATAGTAGATAGTGAATTGGACAAGAAAATGGACTGATCTATTTTCTTGTATGTTTTCTCACAGCCCAGTCCAGTTCAGTTGTAACGTGTTTATAGTGCAAATTTAGTTATAATACAGTTGCACTGTCAACCCCATTCACTGTGCATGAGCTGCTACCTCGCTCGCTTGCTTGCTGCACTTCAGCCAGCTTTGGTGCTAAAAAGAGCGAGTTCTAGTTCATTAGGTATTTTCTCGATTCCTGCTTTGCTGCGCACGTGTAAAGCAGAAATTGAATTCAGAAAAATAGCCAACTTCCTGGCCAACAGATCACCAATGACATAATTTCCTGCTTTGCAGTGTCCTGATAATCCAGAATTGGCCATTTTTCTTTCAATGTAGCAACTGGCCAAAGAGGACGAAGCAAATTGAAACAGACAACTTGTTTAGATTTGATGAATTCCAATCAGCATGTTACAACAGTATTCCACTGTATCAATAACCTGCAAAGTTCAAACAGCATTGTTTCAATTAAAGCACCCACAATATCGAAATATATAACTGGAGAGTGAGATATAATCATAAAAACAGACCATTTTATGAGCTCATAGAATCAATTCTAATGTTACTGTCTAACTATCAGACTGAGCAAAGCCATCAAGTGACCTTTTCAATTGGATTGTCGCTTTCCAATCCACTGATCGCCATCGAGGCCCCAGTACATCATGTACACAAGTCCCTGACTATTGTGAAGCATGCTGTAAAATATGCAACATCCTGTAAAATCTTACTTGCTGTTCCTGATACTTTTTATAAGAGATTTAAGATTTCTTCAAAATATTTAAGAGAAACCTTGGTACTTACAAGAGGCAAATGGGAAAAGAGGGGTATTGGTGAGGTGATCAGGAGTGGTTGATGTTCATGTAGAGTACAAACACCAGCACAGATTAGTTGGGCCGAATTGCCAGTTTCCATGCTGTATTATATTTCTATGAGAATTTTTGACTATTCCATTGAAGAAGGATTTCTGTGGGTAAACAATGTATGCCAAAGTTCTCAAAAGCTTTACAGTAATTACTGTTAAGTGACTGTTTTTGTAGTCAACGTTTGGCACTGCCAAATCTGTGTAAATCTGAATCGTGAGGCAAGTAGGAGTTGTGACACTATAACATGGTGGTTTGAGTCCATACAATCGGACAATACAACTCGTTATAATGGTTTACGTTATAAAAATGGTTGCTAGTCAACACTTCCAGGTTGGTAGAGGGATAACACTGAATCATGCTACATGTGCAAACAGGAAGCTGGCAACAGTTCTTGTGAGCGGTTCCAGTGAAACAGGCCGAGAGGCCTTCTGAGCTATTGAGCTTGTGTGCTACTCCCATTATACCACAAGTCCATGGTGAAACCAAGCTATAACTGGACTGACTGTATTTGATTGTAACTGTTAATGTAGCATTTCCCCTTTTTATGCATGGCATGTAGCTAGCATTTTCTTGCATTGAGTTGCTAGTAGACAGACATCTGCTGCTCCTTATTGTTTGCCTGCTGGGACTAACCTCAGTTGGATAAACCGCACCAGATGTTGGCTTTATTTCAAAATCTATCAAATATCAGGCATTCTTCCTAGGCACGCACAATATCTGTTTTAATCTCTTCCAACACTGCATGACTTTTTGAGAGTGAAAAGCCTGCTTGAAAGACAGCACCAGGAGGGGGTCAATGAGAGAGACTTATTTGCTGGATTTCTAGGCTCTGGGTGAACATTGAAGCTTAATTCTTCCACATCTCTGCAGAAACTTAACCAACTTTGTAGACAGGTAGAAATTAAACTAAACTTTGTCATAACACAGGTTCTCTTATAGTCCAATTTGTTTCACATTGACTCAAATTGAATCAGAGTATGATGGAGCCAGCTGGCTTTCTGCGGGAACGTGCAGTGACATCATGGTTGATGACATTATGGTCAGTCAGCACCCATTAGATGACTGGTTGGGACTTTAAGGATCCCCAACTATCACATTATAATGGGATCCTTCTGTTGTAGTCATTGTTCTCTGAAATACTTCACAGAAGGGACACTGGTGAAGCTATGCTCAGGGTTCTTAACGCCTAAAAGAGAAAGAAGTTGGAATTTTCTTACATCCATTACAGCCTCAAGAAAGTTATAGTTATTTTCATATTCTGGGTTTGGCATTTTCTCTGAAGCTGATGCTGGTTTTATAAAAGGTTTTCTTTCATTTAATATAGTGACTTTTGTCAAAAATCTCAAATTATTTGACACAAGGGCACAATGAAATGGGTTGTATTAATTTACCTGTAAATTTTGTGATATCTATTTAATTAGGGGTATGGTTATTGTTAGAACTATGGCTTGCACGGTTGTGCATATGTCTACTCTTCTAAGTCTCATTGATAAGGCAAATAATCTAGTTAACCTTTGATAGGCATACTTCATAGAGCCAGTTCACCTCGAGGTGACTCAGTTCCTTTCTCCCCTTCTTCCTGATCTGTTTTGTAGAATGAGTTTCCAATAGGTTTATAATAGAGCTGTGGACAAACAATACTACTGTGCTTTGATACCTCAAAGAGAAGAGGTCTGACTGGAACCCTAGAAATTTTCCTCAACTTTATGGAAAGTCTGGCATTGGTACTGGTGCATTTGATGGATATGTTGGTCCAACATTATGAGGGAATGCAGAATAAAGTATCCTTTATTTGTTCTGTTTTTTTCACTAACTGATCCAAACCAATATAGACTTGGTGGCCAAATTCCAGAACCAACGTTTAGCCCTTGTTCCAGGTATCCGCTCCAATGGGATGCTGATCTGTTGGCAGTGAGGCTTTTTTAATTTAGTGGCAATGCAGCTTGTGATATCATTATTCATAAGATTCAGACAGTGAAAATGCTAGCCATTTTAGGAATATCTGAATTTGAATTAGTGATAATAATAATCCTTGCATTTGATATGGCACCTCATCACATCATTGGGAGGTCTCAAAGTGCTTCACATGATATACTGTAAAGTGAATTATCTGTATATTCTGTGGGCGAAACATGGCAGCCAATTGCGCACAGCGGTATCATGAACAATACCAGGGAAATGTGGTGTTTTGCTTCTCAAATTGTTACTAATTTAGAGTTGGGATTGTTTGTGATAAAGAACTCTTTGAACTTATGAGCTTGCACTTTCCATTTTGCTGACCCATGTTTTAGAGAACTATATGCATTAGTGGTAGATCCTGCATAATCTTGTCAGGCCTCTGGCTTTGCCAAAAGTTGTACTCAAGAGTTTAATTTGCCTGAGGAAATCATGCCACCTAAACAGCCACCTAATGTTTCTTCCGTTGCAACAAACAATTTCATAGCTGAGTTATTGTGTGATAGTTCACATTATTTTCTTTTTATAGGTTTCTTCCCAAGTAGTTCCCAAGGATGTGATGCCTTTCTTCGTCACAAGATGACCCTCATATCTCCTTCAATATTAAAGAAATATGGAATTCCTTTTGACAAGGTATCAAATATATTAATAAAATAATTAAGTTTTGTATATTTTTATTTTCTCTTGCACTGAAAAGTTAAAATATATAGTTGAGGTATTTACACAAATACTAACATCATTTTTAAGATGAAGTGCCTTTGATTAGATAAAACATAGGTAATTTCTTAATGTTGGTATAAGATCTTGGACTCTGTGTAAAAATGGAATAAACACCATGCCTATGAAACTCTCTGAAGTTATCCAATATGACGGGCACTCTACGAATGCAAGATGTTGTAAGTGTGCCCACAGTACTCCCAAATGTCCTTACATGTGGTTGATTTGGGTTTTCCATCCCATTCCACTGCTATACATGCACTTTCATACTTATGGGGCTGTGGTTAATGATCGTTAGAATGCTCTTGAAAAACACAAAACAAGCCTTCATACTATCGCTCTTCAGTATATCCTCTGCACAGTGACATCATTGGTGGCATCGCAGTGCAGAAGTGTTGACCGCCAGTGATGCCCTGTTCTAAGGCTGGTTGTGATTTTATGTACCACAATTACTATGATATAATGAAGTTATACTACATTTCCAGATATATCAAGATAGCAAGACAGGAGGGCATATGTTCAGGATTGTTCTGTTTCTAGAATAGACACAAAAACATGTTTGTTAATAGTGTTAACAACAGCTAGAGTGAGTCATCAGAAAGGGTGATAGAGATCAGAATTTACTCATTTAAAAAAAAGTTTGGCTACTTAATGATAAGATGGTGGGGTAAGTTTTCTAGAAGGATGAGATCAAGGGCTAAAGTTCTCTTGTGAAATTGTTGACTTATATTCTCTGTCAAATAATTGATTTGAGCTTCTTGAGTGCCACTTTGTACAAACGTTAAGTGCTTTTCAAATACTTAGGCTTAAATTTCTATCTCAAGTTCGTAAATTGGAGGTTTACCTAATTTTATAATTTGTAGCAGCATTGAAATAGATAAAGAATATCAAATGAACTGACTATAATTCAAGACCTTTCATGTTATGTTGGAGATAACAAGAACAAAATGCCTGCCTTGGTGCAGTCCAAATTATAGCTTTCAAAGATCAGGCATAGATAGTGTGCAGCGTCTTGTCTTACCTCCAATTTACTCCATTCTTCTGATTTTCTCAGCATTTAGGATTTTGACATTGATAAGTCAATCTGAAAAGGGAAAAAATGACCAACATGGAGCTGGCCTGAAGTTTATTTACCGGTATTTAATTTGCTACTGATGGAAAGAACCAGCAGTTGTCTTAGTTCTGTTCTGACCAGAAATTTCCCTTGCTATCAAATGCTGATGAGCAGCCACGGAGATGATAATTTCCTCAACTCAAATGGTGCAGGCAGGAGTACAGCCATGGCTTCCTGTTTGTATCACTCTCAGAAAGCTCCCTTTGGTGTACTGTAACATTTTTGGGTGGGGAAAAAAGAAAATAACTTCATCATAGTTATCAGATCCAGGTGGGAATGTTCTCAGGAAATGTAGCAAGAAGAAAAGGGAGGCAATTTTAAAAAAAAGTGAATTAAAACTAGCACTTAAATTGCTTATAAAGAAGCAGCCTGCTCCCTCCTGCAGTTCTGATTGAATGCAGGGAGAAGAGGAGCTGACTGTGAGCTGTTAGCTTGTGTGACACTGAAATAATAATGTGTTGAACACTGATAAGGTGACCAATGAGGAGCAGGGTGACAGCTGTACTGCTGCTCACAAGTCACATCTGCAGTGCTAAACAGTAGTGGAGTATTTATTGTTTGATGAAAGAAACAAGTTGCTGAAACCCAGAAATGTCATTACTTTCTTATTAACTATGTTTAATACCAGCAAAACTCTTGGTCACAAAATCTTGAACATACCTTACTTTTTCCAGAATGTTTGAATAGTTGCTTAAAACTTGTACCTCTGTAAACATTAGCAGCACTAACAAAAATATTTTTGAGCTCTTCCCCTAGATTGTCATTTAAAATTATTATTCTAGGAAGTTGGACTCCATTGTGCCATTATAGATAATTTCTGATATTGCAAATTCTTCAGGCCATACACTGGGAAACCATGCAAAGATTGCAAATGTATATCATACATGTACATATTGATATTTTGAATGCAAATATCCTGGCCATAACCTATTTGTGGAAGATTTTTCTAAGATATGTCAGCTGATGAATGTTACTTTTCTAAAGATCATATTTTGGTTTCTATTTAAACACATTTAAACACATATCTATGTGCCTACACTAAATATCACACTGAGAAGCTGAAACAAACTAGTACAGTGTACCATGTGAAAAGCAGCTAAATTACTGGAACATTAACCTCACACAATTTAAAGAATTAAAATAAATATGTATGTAGCCTTTTGCTCCCTTTTTCCCAATTCTCTGTTCTGTGCCCCAGATATGTTCAAACATGTTTTGGAAAATGTGAAATGATAATTTTTAAACAACAGCTAAATATTTGCCATATTGGATTGCATTCTCTTAAACTGGAACAAGTTATCATTTACATACATAGATTTACGTAGACTGTACAGCGTGGAAACAGGCCTTTCAGCCTAACCAGTCTGTGCTGGTGATTATACTTCACATGATACTCCCATATCCTCTCCCGTGTATATTTAAATACATCTATATTATCTGCTTCAACCTCCACCTTGAGCAATTCCACATTCTCTGCAATAAGAAGTTCCTCCGAAATACTCTATTAGATACCCTAGTTGCTATCTTGAGTACTTGTGTCCCTTGACTACAGATTCCCCAACAAGTGGGAATCCTTTCATAATTTTGAACACCTTTCAGGTCCCCTCTTAAATGTCTGTTCTCTAGCAAAAAAAGTCTTAACCTGTTCAGTCTTTCCTGAAAGCAGTAACCTGTCAGCCCTGGTATCATAGTAAACCTATGCTGTATGTTTTCCCATCACTGCTATATCTTTCTGATAGTATGGTGACCAGAACTGGACATAGGACTCCAAATATGGTTTCACCGGGATTTTATACAAATTCAACATCACCATCTCACTTTTATACTCTATCCTTTGGATATAAAGTCCAGGACCCCATTGGGAAATTTTATGGTCTTATCTAATTTTAGAAATTTGAAGATCTGTATCCTCAGATCTCTTTGCTCCTCCACTCTTAGGTTAGCAATGACTTAGGGTTTAGATGGCTGCATTACTTTTTCTGGGTGGCTGAATGTAAAATTCCTTTTTAATGTTCGCTTGCAAGATACACAGTCAATCCACTGTATATTCTGTGAAGTGCTTTGAGATGTCTCGATGATGTGAAAGGCTCTATATCAAATGCAAGGATTATTATTACTATGTTTGTGGAAATGCAGTATTTTATATCGCACCACATGTTTTCTGATTTGGAAGTATATTCTCATTCTCTGAGGATATTTTCATAATAGGTAGAAATTATTTGTAAAGCTCCAATTTTAACTATCTTGTTTAGTTCCATCTTTTGTATAGGGTACTTCGCCTGTTACCTGCCTAGTTACTGTTATTGCACTTGTGTCACAGGCAAGCACAATACAAAACCTTTGACTGTCTCAAAGTAGAGTATTATGTATTATTATTTAATGGTCGGTTATTTATAAATATAAATATCTTGTAATAAAATGTACAGCTTAATCATTTAATTTGTTTATGTTTTGTCCAGATTACTCAAGAAGCAGGAGAGTTCATGGTCACTTTTCCATATGGGTATCACGCTGGCTTCAATCACGGATTCAACTGTGCCGAGTCAACAAACTTTGCGACCATCCGCTGGGTTGATTATGGAAAAATTGCTAAACAGGTAAGTGACATTGAGGTTATCTAAATGATTTAATTAGCTTTTCCTTTCATTGCAACTGAAGGAGAATTAATTCTAAGATCTTGGATTTCTGTGTGTTTTAAGTTAATATGCATTGTTAAACCTCCAGCTAAAATATATTGCGGAAAGCTACTCAGTCACACTGATAGCTTTTACATTTACTGTATTTTTTTCAATAGCCCAGCACCTATTTATCAAAAAATATACTCATATAATTCTTTTTGGCAAGTCCTACTACAACCTGGTTCTATATTAAACGTTTTCTGGAATGTTTGTATTGGTAATTCACTTGCAATTGCCATGTTTGAATACTATTTAGCATTTCTCTATTTGTTTCTCCCTCCCCCCCCAATGTCCTCCCAAAGCTTACAAATTCCTTGGCTATCTGCTACCGTAGCTCAGTATAGCACTTTGGGTGTAGGAATTTCTAGCCTTACCCACACAGCACAGAAATTCTGACTCCCAGCAGTATTTTTTCAGTGTCAGTCCTTGGCTGGATCATCTGGGAGATTGGGATCTGATTGATAACGGCGGACAAATAATGCATTAATAAGAGGGTGAATGAATGCTCTATTTATAGGTTTTACATTTGTTTTAACTGGTCAATGTTCTGTAAATTGAGACAGATAGACTGGAAGTATCTCTTGCACATTCATGTGAATGAACTACCAAAATTCGAGCTACTTTCAAATATAAAATACAATGAAGTATATTCTGCATGTTTGAATTGCACACTTGCTGGGTTTCTCCAGTACGCTTCTTGAAGCCCCAACTTTTCAACCTTATCTATCTTCCTCTGACAATCTGAATTGCAGTCTGCTTCAATTTGTTTTGTTCTGGCAATCTTTTACCTTTTCATTTTTGATTCATTGCAAAATTTGACTTGCCAGGCCCGATTTGAGCCTATCAAAATAACTTGAATACTAATTGCTACCATCTTCCAAAAGGAATAGTAGAAGCTGGAAGAATGTGAAAGGCAAGTCGAGGATGAAAGATAGAATAAATTAAAAATAAACAGAATGAAGTTAAGGAGAAAAAAGAACAATACATATGATTTATTTAAAATCTTTTATAGTTACATTAAAGTATGTTTTTTTAATTCTCTTTTATTAAAATGATGTATAGTAAGGTACATCAGATGGTTGGGTAGTTTTATTACTGTAGAACTATTTTTTGATGCATGAGCTAAAAACGATATAGATTCAGCTTGCCTCAAGAGATTGAAGTCTCCATAAATTTGCTGGGACTGAGTTTTCAAAAAAAATTGTAGAAAATAATAAATAATAATAATCCTTGCATGTGCTTTTCACGTTGGGAGGATGACCTAAAGTGCTTCACAGGATATACTGCAAAGTGACTGTGAATTTTGTGGGTGAATGCATCTTGAAGTTTCATTGTTTAATCAGATGCGGTTTATGCTTCTATGATTGACTGATGTTGACTGCATTTGGGGTGGAATGGAATGGAAGGAAAGCCATATCAGGGTTACATAAAGTGAGTTTGCTAAATAACCTCTACAATCTCCCTTTTTATTTCTCTGCTTCTGGTATGTGGAAGATAACATTGTTTGTATAATTAGAACTATTATAGCTAAAGGAAAGCAATATATTTTCTCTTTGAAGATCCAGGCAAATGACTATATTTTTATGAATTCAATTTGCTCCAATTATTATTCAAATTGAGTTGTGGTTATTTCATTTAGTACTAGAAATAATTTTGCATTTTACAGTACGCTTTCAAAAGAATACCTAATAGAACATAAATAATTGTTTATAGTACGTTTAATAAACGCCCTTTGTTTTGGAAGACAGCAATTTAGTGTTCATAAATTTATAGGCATTATTATGTAGATTATAATCCTTGCATTTTATATAGCATTTTGTATACCACAGTGTTTCTAAGCATATCACCTTAAGCCAGTTCAGCTCTGAGGAGACTATTACTACCCCCTCTCTCCTTCCCCCAAAGAGGAAAGTGGGGATCCACCTGGTGTTCTAACATCCACCTGACCAGATAGATGGGACTTGGGTTTAAACATCTCAACTGAAGGATGGCTCTTCTGATAATGTAGTGCTCTCCCACTGGCATGTCAACCTGACTGAGCTGTATAATGGATACAATTGGAGCTACAATATTTACAAGATTACATGCAATACAACAACTTGCATTTATACAGTGCTCCTCACTCAGGTTAACGTACCAGAGTGCTTGTCACGACGCCAAGCAATGCAGTTGAGGGAGATCAGATGCTTTAACTACAAGAAAAAAANTTAACAAATTTTAAGTTATATCAAGTGACATTATCTGGTGCAAGATACTGTGGCGTTAGTTTCGGCACTTCAGACAGGGGGTCCTTCAAGTCATTCGTGGTCTACTGATAGTTACCTTCGAGATTGTCCATTAGTGACTCTTGATTGTTATTAATAAATCTTGTTGCAAATTGGTTTAAGATTTCAATGACCTGATCCATAGGAATTCATATCTCTATGGGTCCAGCAATTCTGTATGTTTCAGCTTACAAATAGCGATGCTACAAAACCATACTAATATGACAATAATAAAGCAACAGTTACATCAAGACCAACATTTATTACTGTAATATTACCTATAATGTTTAAAAAAAAGAACAGATTTGAACAATTATTTTTCATTTTTTGCTGATTTCAAAACAAAAGTTAAACATGTAAAACCCCAAACTGCAGTTGGTCATTAACAAATTGTGAAATCCTGGACAGGGAGTTAAAGGGCTGTACATAATAAAAAATAAGCCATCTCAATTGGAATGAGATATACAGATGTGGTATTATAAAATATATGGGCAGTCTATCTACCTCTGGCACACTTTATACCACTGTGTCCTACTGTGGCTTCAGGTTTTGCTGTGCTAAGCAATTTCTAGCAGCTGTACCTTTTCTGTTTAACTTTACTTGTGCTCTACTTGTGATTTCTTTTTCCTTCACATTGTTCATTCCCTTCTATCTGTCCTTTTTTTATCAGGTTATTCTACCTTTTCCCTAACTAATGTGTGTGATTGTAGTCTTTCTACCTTTCTGTTTCTTCCTCTTTTTCTTTCATCTTACACAGTCTGTTTTGTTGGTGGGAGCATGTTGTGTTTAGAAGTTCATCCCCCGCAAAAACAACCTCTAAAGCTGATTCTCAGCCAAATAAAAGCTTGGACTCTAACTTTTACCATGGTCTAGATGTGACCATGTCAATCCCTGATGTATCCTAATGCATGTCTTTCATTTCATCCGCCCCATCCTTGGCAGCTGTGCTTTCAGCCCCTACGCCCCCAAACTCTGGAGCTCTCTGCCTCATTTCTATTTTCTTGCCCCATCCTTACCCGTCTTCAGTTCACACCTCAAGACTTTCCTCTTCGACCGTGCTTAGGTCAATGCCTCTCTTTCCCTGACTCGGTGTCGAACTCCACCATTCTTAAGTGCTTCAAGATGTTACCTGAAGGGGGCTGTATATATCAAAATGTGCAACAATTGCTGAGGGAATTGGAGCTTTTAACTAGAATACTTGCAGGTGGCACAGGGAACCAACTGCACCAGAGCGATTTCTTCTGTAGTATTTGAAGCGTTAATGCATATTTTCTTATTTTTAAAAAGGCCTATTTGGGGGAGGATAAAAAACACTTAATAATGGTGCTTTTGCTGGATTAAATCTCAACCTTGAGTTTATATTTTTGAACTTCCCCTCATTCCCCCCACCCACCATCTCATGTACAACGTAGCTGTTTTGATTTTGTATTTGATGGATTTGTTTGGTACCATGTTCATTAGTTTCTCATCAGAAAACTGACAGGCTGTAAAATGAAACTTTGGCTTAGATTTTCAGCTTGACTGTTTGGAGACGTTTGCTAAGAAATTTTGTTTTTGTGCAGCAGCAGCCTCAGGTGCCATTGTTGTCTCACAGGGAGAAAAAGCTATTTACTAGACTGATACCATGGAGGAAAGGGCAAGCTTCAGGGATAACTATTATCTGGGTTATAGTAACCAAAGCAAGAAATATACAAGAATTGTCACAGGAATAAATATGTACAGTAGAGTCAAATACACAGGCAGAAACAAACAGTCAATTTATTTCACTGTACCATACTGTGTGAAACACTTACGAAAAACATAACCAAAGGCTTCAGGCTGAGAAAAAACTAATTCAGAAAGAAATTGGACTGCCCACTTGAATGCGTGCAGTGGTGTTTATAATTAAGAATTCTCATGATGTAGAAGCTTTGTGCAGCAGTGTATGTATAACCTTGTAAATAAAAATGCCATCATGAAATTCCCCAGCCTCGATGACTGATATTCCACTTGCAGATGTCTCGTTGGAATAGTACCAGTGTTTTTGGACTTCGTCCAGTATTGCAATATATGCTGTTCATAAAATTACCCTGTGGGAACTTGTACACAGATCATAAATTCTGATTTTGGTTCTCAGTTGCACTTGCTATATGCTAATTATAGTTTTAAGAGATAAATGGAAATTCCTCCTTATATACAAAAAACTGCTGCCTAGTTTTGTTTTACTGTATGTAAACTATTTATACAATATTAATAGTGTGGTCAGTGGAATTATATCCTATTGATTGGGAGATTAGTGAACTTTCTCCTTGTGAGCTAACAAAAGAATAATTTGTTTGATCTACCATGCTAACCTTGTGATCTTGGCTAACTACCACATACCATTAGGGCAGTCAAGTGGCACATTATCGAGACTCCATTAGCTAAGAAATTGCAAAAAAAAAGGAAGGTAATAGCTGAAGACAGACAACTGGAGTCATCGCCAGTTTACATTTATCTTGTGGCTTTCACTTCAGGATGTCTCGAAAGTGCTTGCAGTATGCGAGAGACTTCACTGATTATTTCTGTCAAACAGTTTTTCCAATATTCTGTCAGTCAGACATGGTCTGTAGGATTGTAGAATCAACAATTTTCCTCTGCAGGGTAAATTTAGAAAATTCAATATAATATTTAGAT